AGCCCCCAATAAAATGATTTAAAAAAAAATTTTTTTTTTGCTTTTTCTTCTAGAGCTTCCTTTTGAAAATTTCTATTCAACTCTGACTTCATCCTTTCTTTCATTTGCTTTAGCTACTCGATGATGAAAAGCAAGTTTCAGAGTCTCTTCTGACATCCACTTGGGTCTTTTCTTTCTTCGTTTTTTAAAATGACCTTTTGCTTTCTTCATGAATGATGGTCTTGATGTTCTCCCAGAACTCATCAGGTCTTCTGTCATTAGCATTCAATGTGTCAAATTTGTTCTTGAGATGTTCTCAAAATTCAGGTAAGATTGACTCAAGTTCCTATATTGGCTCTTGTGGACTTGTTTTAATTTTCTTCCATTTATCATGAACGTAAAGGAGCCCTGGTAATGTAGTGGTTACGCACTTGGCTGCAATCTACCTGGTCACAAGCTTGAAACCACCAGAAGCTCGGAGGGAGAAAGAATGGGCTTTCTACTCCCATAAATAGTCACGAGGAGTCAGCAGTGACTTGATGGCAGTGAGTTTATCCTGAACTTACATGTGAGTAATTTATGGTCTGTTCCACAGTCCCTGATCTGGTTTTATTTGGTGAAATATCAGTCTATCCATCATGTCTTCCCACAGATGTAGTTCATTTGATTTCTGTGTATTCTATCTGGGGAAGTTCAAGTGTACTGTTGTATTTTATGCTGTTGAAAAACGTATTTGCTATGAACAATGTTCATAGTTGTTGGTTTTGCAAAATTCTATCATGCGATCTCCAGCTTCATTTCTATCACAAAAACCGCATTTTCCAGGTACTGTGCCTTCCTCTTTGTTTCCAACTTTTACATTCCATTTGTCAATAATTATCAATGCATCTTGATTGCGTTTGTGATCAATTTAAGAGTTAAGTCTCTGGTAGAATTCTTCAATTTCTTGATTGCTAGCTTTTGTGGTTGGTGCATCAATTTGAATAATGGTTATATTGATGGGATTTCTTTGAAGGCAGATAGATATAATTCTATCACTGGTAGCATTGTATTTCACGATTGAGTGTGAAATGTCATTCTTATTTGTGCTATTCCTGGCATGGTAGAGTAGGAGCATGCAAATAAGGTGTAAAGGACTGTCACGTAACGATTGGTCAGTTTTGCTACTCTGCTGGTGTAAACTGGGTCACTTCAGAAGAAAGACAGAAAATCTTTACGGCTGTGTGTTCTTACAGCATCAAGATGTAAGCTCCACCAGCAGAGCACATATGAGATTCCTGTATGAGGTGGCAGCCTCAGCAGAGGTACCACAGACCAAAGCACCAAGACAATGGGACAGATGGAGCAACAGGCTTCTCAGTCCACAGGAGGAGAGCTGAGTGCCTTTGGGCAGGAGGCTGGCTTAAAGAGTAGACTGCCCTTTGGGCATTTATCATTGCTAAAGGAACTTTGCAACACTTTCCTGAGAAGGTCATGGCAGACCAGAGAAAGATGTGCATGCAGTCATGGTCAAGATGAGATGCTGCTGCAACAAAAGGATTGATATCCTTCATTTTTTCTGGCTCTGGTTTGTTGTGACCTGTCAGCCACATGATGGTGAGCATTGTCTGTGAGTTTCATGGGGCCACTCAACAGCTGATGGAGCCCTGCAGAGAAGTAGTGTGTGTCCGTGAGTTTCATGGGGCCACTCAACAGCTGATGGAGCCCTGCAGAGAAGTAGTGCGCTATGAGGATGACTGGGGTCAGAACAGGGTGAAGAAGGTTGAAGGGTGGAAGCATATTTGATTTCTGCCTTCTAGGATCATTCTTGAGAAGATGTGGAGTAGGGCTCTCCTTCCCCTTGTGTAGCTGTAGATCAGAATGTTGTTCCCCCAAGTCATTTTCTCAATCTCCTATTGTTAAAAAGGAGAAAACACCAGTTTTGCACATGGGCTCATCACTGGGAGGAGTAAAAAGACCCATCTTTCTCATGAGGCGTACCTGGTGGTATTGGACTGCTGGCCTTGAAGTTAGCAGCCCAACACATGACCACTCCACCACCAGAGTTCCTTCTTAGGCATAAGAAATAAGAGTCGTCATGTTAATATTAGGAGTCCTGGTGGCACTGTGGGTAAGGTGTTGGACCACTAACCTCGAGGATAGTGGTTCAAATCCACTAACTGCTTTTTGGGACAAAATGAGGCTGTCTGCTACTGTAAAGATTTCCCTTCTCACAAAACCTATGTTTTGTTATATTAACATCAGCAGCCCTGGCGGTGCAATGGTTAAGTGTTCAGTTGTTAACCAAAATTTCAGCACTTTACACCTGCCAGCAGCTCCATGGGTAAAGATGAGGCAGTCCGTGTCTATAAAGATTTATTGCCTCAAAAACCCTACAAGGTAGTTCTGATCTGTCATACAGAGTTGCTAGAATCAGAATTGAGTCAGTAACAAAGTTTTGTTTTAAAAATATTAATATCAGAAAAAAACAAGGTCTCCTCACGCTCAGCAAGCAAAGTGTGTCATCTGTATACCATAAATAAGCCTTCCTTCAATCCTGATGCCACTTTGTTCATAATATCGTCAATAAAACACAAGTGAACATCTTTCTGGTATTCTCTGCTTTCAGTCAAGATCCATCTGACATTAACAAGGTGAGTCCTTGTCCCATATCTTCCTTTGAATCCAGCCTGGATCTCAGTCAGCTTTCAATAAATGTATTTCTGCAACCATTGTTGGATGATCTTCAGCAAAATTTTAATTGCATGTGATATCAATTATATTCTTCTATAATTTAAGCATTCTGTTGGGTCATTTTTCTTTGGAATTGGCACAAATATGGATAGCTTCTCATCAGTTAGCCCGGAAGCTGTCTTCCAAATTTCTTGGCATAGAAGAGTGAGTGCTTCCAGTGCTTCAATAGTTTGTTAAATAAAATCCCAATTGGTACTCTGTCAATTTCTGGAGACTTGTTTTTGGCTAATGCCTTCAGTACAACTTGGATCTCTTTCTTCAAAGAGATCCAAATGATCCACATCGGTCATATGTTATCTCTTTAAATGGTTGAATGTCAACTAGTTCTTTTCGGTAGTGATTCTGTGCATTCTTTCCATCCTCTTTTGATGCATCTTGACTGGTTTAGTTTGTTCATAGAATCAATATTTCAACTTGAGGTTTGAATTTTTTTCTTTAGTTCTTTCCATTTAGGATATGCTGAGTGTGTTTTTCTTTCTGGTTTTCTAATTCTAGGTCTTTTCTTATTTCAATATAATATTTAGCTTTGTCTTCTCAAGCGGCCCGTTGAAATTTTCTATTCAGCTCTTTGATGTTAATCATTTCTTCCATGTTCCTTAGCTACTCTACGATTAATAGCAACTTTCAGAATCTCTTCTGACATCCACTTTGATCTTTTCCTCCTTTCCTATCTTTTTAATGAGCTTTTGCTGTCTTCATGTGTGATGATCTTGATCCTCCCACAGCTCATCAGGTCTGTCATTAGTGTTCACTGTGTCAAATCTGTGGGATAGACTCAAGTTCGCATTTTGGCTCTCGTAGACTTGTGTTCATTTTCTTCACCTTCAACCTGAACTAACAGATGAGCAATGCACTGGTGGGCAACAGTACTGAGCTGTTTCTCTACTTCCTCACTCCTAAAATTACAATCAGAAGTCACTGGGTAGAACAAATAGCTAATGTGTTTGGCTGCTAACCAAAAAGTTGTGGTTCAATGCCACCCAGGGGTGCCTCAGAAGACAGGCCTGGTGATCTGCTTCCAATATGGCACAGCCATGAAAACGCTATGGAGTGCAGTGCTACTCTGACACACACATGGGGAAGCCATGAGTTGGAATGATTTTATTGCAACCGGTTAAATGAAGAACAAGATGCATCTCGTCTACCTCACAAGGATTTTATGAAGGGTAATTGAAATAACTATGATTGATAAAATAATCTCTAAAACACAAGGAATTAAGGTAGCCATCATTTCTGAGATGTGAAATTATGTGAAAAGTTATGAAAAGAATCTTTCTCAAAAGTCAGATTATCACAAACCTCAGAATCAACGAGAAAAGTCACTGATAGAACAACTTTGCCCCTTTAAATCAACATCCAAGAACAATCTTACCTGTTGGTGCGGCAATAGTGATTCTGTAAAGCGTAGGACATGCACTGAGCGTCTAGATGCTTGCTCTCGGCCTCTTTCCAACTATCTTCTGGGCACTTTCTCTTGATCTGCTTCTCGTGTTTTTTCCCTACATAGTCAGCATAGGTCTGGATCCGATAGCTTTCTGCATATCTGCTGGTATTGATGGCTACAAGGAAAAGAAAGATTTCCTTTATAAAAGAGTCTCATCTTGCCCCAAAAGTGCCATCCTTTGGAAAATGTAGTCAAAGGAGTCTTGAGTTTGGGTCTAGGCACAGCCTGGCTCTGCCACTTAGAAGCCAGGTGACCTCAGGTACTTCTCATAAACTCCCCACATCCGAGTTTCTGGAGAAAAGGTAGTCGTAGCTCTGAAGGTCCAGTACAGCATGCAAATGCATCATAAAGAACTGCAAAGATAGGTGCAGTCGTTTTCAAATGATGTGTAGTTAACAGTACTGTTTGGCAATTATTTACAGGAAAATTTAAATAAAATCACAAAAGAAAACCACCAGACAGGGTTTTCTACTCCTGTAAAATGTTACAGTCTTGGCAACTCACAGGGGCAGTCCTACCCTGTCCTATAGGGTCTCTACGATCCAGCATTGACTTGAAGGCAGTGTATTCGGTGGTTTGGGTATTGGTTCAAAAGAGAAGAAATTTAAAGAAACTATCAAAAGATTAAAGGGCGTTCATCTTATCCAGTCTCCCAAAGGTAGAGGGAAATCTTATGGTGCATGCTCACACAAATGCATGCTGATCATACACACAGACAGACATGAAAGTAGCCTGTTTTGTAAAAGTGCCATAGACCAAGGCATTCCTATCATAGGACCGTGGATACAGGACCCTTTATCCACCCCTTAAAGCTCACTCTGTCATATGCAAGTGTTACACAGAGTTAATTCCCCTGTATATTTTAAGCTACTTCCTAAACAAGGTTAATCTAATAATGGAATATTAATAAGAGCCCACACCGTCTATCACCATTATTCTGAACCAATTATTGGTGAATGTTTCCTATATCTTTTTGAAGTTTTGTAAGCATACCCCAAAGGGATGACATCTGCAACAATCCTTCTCTCGAGTGTGGACTGAATTATATGTCCCCAAAATATGTGTCAACTTGGTACCTGTACACATCTCCTTAAACCATACACAATCTCTAAACAGAGACAAATGCAAAGTCATACACCTAACATGATACAACTAACATACATGCAACTGCAAATACACTAGCCTTATTTATATTTTATAAGAGGAAAGAAGGCAAAAGCAATTGCTATGTATATACTTTGTTTCATTTTCCCCACAAACTCATATATACACATATGTAAATATATATATACACACACATACACATATAATAAAACAAGGAAGAAATACTTATAATCATCACAGTCCTCATTTCTGTAACAGGACACATGGTTATAACTGGCATTTAGAACTCCCATCTTCGACCACTCGGGGAGCCCTGGTGTAGTGGGCTATGTACTGCTAGGGCAGCTGTTTGAATGCACCAGCTGACCCATGATAGAAAGTTGAGTCTTTTGCTCCCGTAAAGATTTGCAGGCTTAGAAACCTAGCAAGCAGCTCTACCCTGCCCTATGGGGGACGTGTGACTTGGAATGGACTCAATGGCTATGGGCTTTTTGATGTTCTTCTATTCCAGAATGTGGGTTACCATTTACCAGTTCTAGGAAAATAGGGCCAGAGACGCTGCCCAAAGTTGAAGGGGTGGGCCGCCATGCTCCAGGAGAAGCGGGTAAAGCCAAGGCGGTAAGGCCATCATTCAACTGAACTAGT